TTGACATTTATTTGATGAACAAAACAACAAAGTTAAAATAAGTCCTACAGGAGTCTTGGCACCGTGGCCTAAAAAAAAAAAAAAAGAAAGAAAGAAAGAAAAGCAAAAGAAATGGGTATGTGGCATGTTGTGCTCCTGAGTTAGGCTGCATTGCTGCTGCTTCACCTTTCTTACCAGAATCTAAAGACTATCAAATCTGAGGGCAAATAGCTCCCACTTTGGGGGGTGTGTGTATGGAGAGGGAGTGTCCCCAAAATTTGTAAATCAGTTACTTGAAGATTTTTTTATTTTTTTATTTTGAAGAAAAAAATGTGGGAAATGGTAGCCAGGTCCTTAACAATAATAGTACACACAAGATCACTTCACCTATAACAAAACTGATCCATGATATAGGGAGGCCCCAACTGCTATTTACATAGTTTCTCTGTGAACGCTCATCTGCAAAAATTTGAGGGAGATATGGATGAGTATGGAGAATTTACTTTTACATGTTTAGATGTTGCCCTTTATTGCATTTCTGCCTAGAGACGCCACCTCTGCTCCCACTCAATCTCATGTTCCAAGAGCAAGCTCCTTTCTTTATAGGAACCACGTAAGGAAATGTTCCATATAGGAGAGCAGTTTGGGAAAGATTGTTAACATGCTTAGAAATGGCTTGCCCCTGTTCAGGATTCTAATGCAATCCAGGTTTCCTACATTCTATCTATCTATCTATCTATCTATCTATCTATCTATCTATCTATCTATGTATCTATCTATCTATGTATGTAAAGGCTAATATGCAAAGTGTCCCATTGGGAGTCCGACCGGGGACCAGGAGTTCAATTGCTCCCTATGACATGCACTGACTACAGTGGGACAGCATGGAATGAAGGAAGGCCCTGGCTGGCAGCCACTGGAAGGTAGGGTCTAAACCGGCAGTTGGACATCCCCTGAGGGATCCCAGATTGGGAGACAGTGCAGGCCAGGCAGAGGAACATCCCCCTCCCATACACAAATTTCATGCATCAGGCCTCTAGTAGATAGACAGATAGATAGATAGATAGATAGATAGATAGATAGATAGATAGACAGATAGATAGATGATGGATAGATGGATGGATTCCATTGTTGCCATTATGCAAAGCTGAATTAAAGAGAATGGGAGTCACCATTATCCAAAGCCACATAAAGGCCCATCCATCCTCCTTTATGTGGTCTGGTGTACTGTTACAACACTCCCTACCTACCCATCTAACCCAAATGTGAGGGCTTTGACCTGAGTATGTTGTGACTTAGTCCAGGTATCAGCCCAGGTTATGTTTTTTTCTCTTTCAACATTCCCTTCACTCTGAACTAACTGTTTACCTCCTTTCATATTTGGCATCATCTTAACTCTCATTCTTCTTAGATGATCATACACACCCAGGGTTTTGCCCTATTGATCATTTGTCTTTGGCTTCTTTGCCATCTATTGATTAAGGCTGGCAGCTATTGGTCTCAGTGATGCTCTGTCTGCTTTGCTCCAGCACACAGTACAAGTACTCTTCACTCATTAAATCATAATTTCCTTTGGCTGAACTTGTTCAAAGAACGAAACAAATACTTCATCTGGAAATAAACCTGTGATTTCTTAGCCAGTATAAGATTTAAAGACTTTGTATTCCCCTGTATAGTCCCAATGTACCAACCTTAAAAAGTAATTTCAGTCTTGTATTTCATTTAGTTTTCTTTTCAGTAAAAATATCAACAAATTACTCTGGAAGACATCTTTCTTGGGTTTGTTAATTGGATTATCTTTAATAGCCCATTTTTAGAATTTATTGCTAGGGCTCAAACACAGGCACACCATCAGAAATTAAATCGAGCGAGGCACTCACGGAACCATAAATAAAACAGAACAAAGTGTTTTTCATTTAGTGTCTTTCAAGGTGGGCTAGCTGAAAAGGAAAGGCATGCTCTCCATTTAAAAAATCAGAAAGGAGAAGCTTGTTCTACTTGGTTAAAAGCAGGGCTATATGAAGCAACTCATTTTCTAAGGAAGAGATCTTTTTTCAAGACCCTCTGAGGATTAACTTTATGACAAAATGGGAGTTTATCCTCTGCCATCTGTCACAGAAACCCAGCCTCCAATCTATACGCAAGCCTCAGAGCAAAGAGCAAGCAAAGGGGATTGAGAGACATAAATGTAGCAGGAGCTGCTTCACAGCAAGTTTATTTCCCATTTGTCTCCATCTGAAGGCTTTCAAGATGGGAACATTTAACAGGCCTCTCACTGACAGCTGGTGGGAAGATTAGTGATCAAGGGTTGCAGATATTTGGACAAGGAATGTGTTCTGCTGTGGGGGCTGATGGGAAAGCGAGGGGGAGAGAGAATGCTCGCCCCCGAAATGGAGACTGATGAAGCTAAAAGCCCCAGAAGCAGTTGGCAGGGGAAGGACAATGGATCCTGCCTCCTTGTGGGCGCAGCAGCATCCTATGTCCATGGGGGAAGGCAGGCCGCCCTCTCCAGAGAAACGTGTAGTGAGTAGCGAAGCGGTGCTCTTGACAAAGCCAGTCGTGACAGGCTTCTCATTGGTGAGGGGCTCAGTTCTGTCCGAGGAGAGAAAACATTTGTCAGTGAAACAGTGTGAGGAAGTCAGAGCCTTTGTGCAGCAACAGGATTCTTCCGTTCGATCCTGATCATGTCCCCGTTCGTCTGATGGGTGTGCTTTTCTAGCCTCAGTGACTCCAGGCCCTCCCACGGAATCTCAGTGGAGAAATGGGGACTGCGAAGATTTTTGCTTTTTCAATTTACACACTGCTTCCGAGGTCAATGAAGCTATTGATTCCACTCACATGCAATTTACTACTCCTTCTCCTTCTCATCCTCCTCAGCTTTGATTGACTCATTCCAAAAACCAAGGTGTAGACATATAGTTGAATTAGAACTGACCCATAGTTTAAGCATGAAGCGAAATGAAAGACTCTTGTTGGTGGCCACTGCAAGAAAGTCTAAGCAGAGATGCCTGTGGCCTTGTGGTGACATGAAGCCAGCAAGTGCCAGGCAAAGTGAGGAGAGCTGAGTGGAGAAAGGAAGGAGCTGAGCCTCTTTCTCCCCCAGAATTCTAACTCGTCCTCCAATTTAAAGAGAGAGAAAAAAAAAAAAAAGGCTCTGAATAGGTCTTTCTCCTTTTCTGGAATCCCAAAAGGTTAATGCTGGAAAGAACCTGAATAGCATCTAAAGCAAACCTTCCATTTTACAGGTGAGGGAAACTGAGGGTCTCAGAGGTGACCTGACTTTTGTGGTCACAGAGTTGCTTCAGGACCGTCTGCAATTTTCCTAAGGCCCAGTTCACTTCTGTCTGGCAGCAGATTCTCTTCTGGACTGAACTATTCTCAGGCTCCTAGGAATTCTTCTCAAATACACCTGGACTTTTGGTCTTCCATGTTCTTCTCTACATTTCTTGACGTTAGCAAGAAATCCTGTTAAGTCAGTTAGCCAGAATCCCTCACGCTGGTTATCCAACCACCTTCCATTCCTGACGGGTTTCTCCTCACCCACCATTCCCCAGGTGAGGTATGACCATCCTGGCCTGCCCACACCAAGGATCTCGCTAGGTCAGTTTAGCCAGGATCCTACCTTACCTGCAATGTTTCCTCTTGGTGATTTCCTAGCCACTGACACCTCACTCCTTGGCTATAAATTCCCATTTTCCTTGTATTTCAAGCTGATTCCATGGCAGTGGTTTCTATACCTATCTTGATGGTTCTGAAAAAAAGAGTGCCCTAAGCATCATGAATAATTTTGTCTTTGACACTTGTCTGAAGAGCCTTGTTTTTTTTAATCATCATGAGAGAAATTAGGAATTCTCCACTCTCTGTTCATTCAGTTACAAGGGGGTAGGAGAAGAGGGCTAAAATCCTTACCTAAAAATAAAGTAAGGCCCAGCCAGCCTGACTCAGTGGTTGAGAGTCAACCACTGAACCAGGAAGTCACTGTTCAATTTCCCAGTTAGGGCACATGCCCGGTTGTGGGTTCGATCCCCTGGGGGTTGGGGGCGTGTAGAAGGCAACCTATTGATGATTCTCTCTCATTGATGTTTCTATCTTTCCCTCTGTCTCTGAAATCAGTAAAAAACATATCTAAAATAAGAATTTTAGATTTCTAACAGAAATACATACTGACTAGTGACTTTGTTTGTTTGTTTGGTTTTAATAAAATCCTCTTTTATTTCTGTAGGATGGCCAGACATGATGCATAAACCTTAAGAGGGTCCCACCCCAATGATTTACATTATTCTCATGCCTGCTCTCAGTTACCCTCTGAAATTCCCAATTCTGGTCATTTAAATGCTAGGGGCATACAACTTAATTTTAAAATTCATCCAATTGTTTTAATAGAAAAAAAATAAGTCTGACTTATAGATTATTAGAAAAGAAATTACACTGACATTATTACAAAATATGAGTTTACTAAAGATGAAGAAAAAAAAAAAAAGATAGGCCCTGGTCAGTTTTCTCAGTGGTTAGAGCATTAGCATGAACCAAATGATCTCAGGTTCTATACTCAGTCAAGGGCATGTACCTTTGTTGTCCCAGAGCCTGTTGGAGGCAACTAATCTATGTTTCTCTCACATTGATGTTTCTCTCTCTCTCTCTCTCTCTCTCTCTCTCTCTCTCTCTCTCTCTCTCTCCCTCCCTCCCTCCCTCCCTCCCTCCCTCCCTCCCTCCTTCCCTCCCTCCCCCTTTCTCTAAAAATCAACAGAAAAAATATTCTTGGATTAGAATCTAAAAGAAAAAATGATGTTGGGGAGCTGGATAAGAACGAGATGTAGTCAGCATAGGATTTATTTTGTATTTTTCCAAAGGAATTTGCAAAATTTGTTTGCAGGTGGAACACAATCTTTAAAACCTTTGCCACACTATTGTCACACTTAGCAATCACAAATCATTCTCACCTGCATGAACTCCAGACTTACACTGGGATGTCTAACTGAGCTCTAAAAAAGTGTCTTCATTTCAAGAATAGGAAAATGATGTTTTATTTTTATCAGTAATTTATTGAAGCACTTGATAGTTAAAATGTACATAAAACAATCCTTAGCTAAATGCATCAACCCCTTGGGGGCTCTAACAATTGTGTTAATTTATATGCATTAAGCTTTCCATTCATTGTCACTTTCAGAAATTCTTGTCAAAGTTGTCATCACGCTGAAGGTCTGACTCATTTTTAGCTTATTTGTTCAGATCTGTCAGTTATAATTGTTCTTACTTCCCTAGTCATTTTTGTTAATTTCCCTGTCTGCACAGCCCACCAAACCTTCTCCCCCAGCTGTCCCAACTGGATTTGGTATTTGCTAAGATGTTAGGCCCTAAATTCTCATATTGCATTCTAGGTCTGGCTAGTCACAAAACAGCTACTGCTCTTGGTCCAGGGTGATTGAGTCTTTTCCTCCTTTAAAGAATATTTTATTAATTGATGAGATTTCTTCTAGATGGTCTTTTACTATATATTGATAACTTTTTCAATGAATGAAATAACTAATAACTAACTGGTAGATATTATGGGACATTTTGCTAACTTTATTGGCTAGTTTCCAAAATCTAGAGTGCATTATCTCTATCTTTTCCTCTAAAGTAGGGGTGTCGAACTCAATCAGAGAAGGGGCCAAAATCTAAAATCCAGCCTAAATCGCGGGCTGAATGGTTTACTGAACAGTCATAAACTGTCATTGTGATGGAAACGCAGCGGAGTGCAGTGATGACAGCGCGGTGCGGGCCACATTGCAAGGCCTGGCGGGACGGATTTGGCCCACGGGCCTTGTGTTTGACACATGTGCTCTAAAGTAAATGTTTTACCAATTTAACAGAGAGCATGACACACAGGAGGCACTCATTGTGTTTTGCTCTGTTATTGTTGCTACTTTTCTCTTTCTTTTAAGTAGTTAAAAAAATATAACATATCAAATAATGAATTTTCATTACAAGTAATATGGTGGCTGAGTTTTGAAGGTGATAGATTCCTGGTGTAAGGAAAAACTATTATGATGAACCAGGCACCTTGAAATATGCTGGAAATATAAAAATGAATATGTCACAGCCAGACCTTGTATTCCAGGGGTGTTAAATATAGGTAGCTGCTTTCATACAGTTGGCTGTCGTTACAAGTTGGATGACCCATAGCTTGCATTAAACAAGCTGAGGAATAAAGCATTAGCACAGTCCCAAGTTTGTTCATTACTCTCATCACACCTTAGTATGGCAAGAAACAAGTCATCCTCCATCTGATAACTATGCCACTGGGAAATGTGTTCCCAAAGTCACCCTTAGCAGGGAAAAGGGAAGGAGGCTCACACAGAATATTTTTAAAGGCCAAATTTACAAGTGGTTCTACCCATGGTTTATTAGCCAGACTTTTGATACACAGCTAAGTGCAAGGAACCTGGGGAATAATTGACCTCTTATTCACCAGGGAAGAGGAACTGGGTGGTGAGTACTTAGCATTACTTTTGCCACACAGGTGGAGATTATTTTCATCTGAATCTCTCAACATACACACCAACATGAAAATGCGAATATTTCTCACAACCATGAGGAGATAAACATTTTTAGATCATCATGGTACTTCTCAAAGAGTTACTGTTTATTGACTCTGCCATATCAAGGAAATGTAACATTAATGATATAACTTTTATCTGTAGCAAAACTACAAGTATTGTTAATTAATATTCATATAAAAAGTATCTGGATCATATTTACCATAATTATTCTTTCTGTATCATTTAATAATTAAAGCAAGATTCCTTGGCACATATTCTAGTCTTCATTATGTATTTTATATAGAGGGTTTGTTTCTCCCCAAGATACATTCAAGTACTAATTCCTGGTACACGAGGATATCTTTTTCGGAAATAGGGTCTTTATAGATGTATTCAAGTCAAGATGAGGTCATACTTAATTAGGATGGGCCCTAAATCTAATGACTTGTCTTTATAGAAGAGGGAAATCTGCATACAGAAAGACATAGACACGCAAAGTCAGAGGTCAATGGGGGAAAAGAGCTTGGACTGATACAGCTACAGGCTAAGGAAAGTCAAGGATTGATGGCAATTGCCACAAGCTAGGAGAGAGGCATGGAATGGATTCTCCCTCTCAGAGCTCCAGAAGGAACCAAGCTACCAACTGCTTAACTTTAGACTTCTAATCTTAAGAACTGTGAGAGAATAAATTTTTGTGTTAAGGTACTGAATTTGTGGGGGATTTTTTTTTTATGGTAGCTCTGGAATCAGACACCATCTTTTAATTTGTCATGGATTATACATACAGGATCAGAGAAATTTACACTCAAGTTAGGTAATTTATTTATACACTTTTTTTTTTTTTCCTGGTTCATCCTTGAACTCTAAAGGGTAAGTGCTTAAGGAAATCTTTTTTTTTCTGAACAGTTTTTGCACTCAAAAGTAGGAATGTGTCAGAAAGGTTTTCTATTAACTTCTGACTAGACTAGATGATTCTAATTCCTGGACAGCGTTGGTTACATTATCAGTCATTTTAGATACATACAACTTGAGGTTATAGTGATAATCAGAGTCATAAGGAAAAAACATATTCAAAACCAACTAAATACAATATATTTAACCAATTAAAAAAAATGACCTGTAACATCTGTCATCTTGTTGACATGAAGTATTATTTAGCAACATTGCTACCTATAGTAAAAAGGAAAGTAGTACTTTGATGCATACAAGAGGAAGTCTTACATTTATGCCACAAAATGGTGTGTCTTTTACTTCCAAGACTAGAACACAAATGCACTCTAGGAGAAAAGACAAAAACAGTGCTCATTGCTTTTTATATAATTAAAAACCAATGTGTGTGGAGATAACTATTATAAATATTAAATGTCATTTCTGTATTTTTACACTGTACATGTTTTTAAAGCAGGTTGTACAAATACAAAAAATTGCCGTCAAACTTCAAGTTACTTTTCATTAACGATCTGCTGTCTCACCCACAGAAACCCTTCTATGTAACTTAAGGTTATATAATCTTATTGCTAATCAGCCAGCAACCACTCCCACCATTCTCTCCAAAACTACCTATAAAAGTGTAATATGCTAATTAGACCAGATGGCCAAAAGACCCTCCAGGACTGAGGGCCAAGGCAGCCACCAAGGCAGCCACTTTGGCTGCGAGGGCCGAGCCCTGCACAAATTATGTGCATCGGGCCTCTAGTAAGGTAATATTTAAGAAAAATCACTGACATCATTGAAGTCAAACAATTACACAAACAAGAGTCCAATTAAGTCAAACATTTACATGACATGGAAGAGATAAAACTACCGTTCCAAGTTATGGTAGTTATCTAAAATGTATGTCTTGGGAGACAGGAGAGAGGCTTTGCTTCTCAATGTATACTGATAAATTTGTTTTTGAACCCTGTGAATTTATTGCCAACTCAAATATTTACAACAGTAGTATCATTAACATGTTGCTATTACATTACTTAGTAAAGAGATTTGTTCACTTTTACTATTTGCTATGAACGTCATTTAACAGACATGTGCAAAAGAAAACTTTTAATGAAAAGAATGATTCTAACAACTACTATAGAAAAGTGTGTTTCCTCAAAAACCCAATAATCCCACTTCTAGGAATATATCCTAAGCCTGAAACACAAATCAGAAAGAATATATGCACCCCTATGTTCATAGCAATGCAATTTATAATAGCTAAGATCTGGAAACAGCCCATCAATAGATGAGTGAATAAAAAAGCTATGGTACATTTATACCATAAAATACTATGCAGCTTTAAAAAAGGCTCTATTACCCTTTGAGACAACATAGAGGAACCTAGAAATTATGCTAAGTGAAATGAGTTAGAAAATGACAAATATATGATCTCACTCATATATGGAGTCAAATGAAAATAAACAGAAACAAAATAGATCAAGACGTGTAAGCATGCAACAGACTGACGAATCTGAGGTAAGTGGGGACATGAAGAGATTCACCAAAGAACTTAAATGCAAACCCATCTACACACAATAGTGTGAAGGGCTGGAGAGGGGGCGGGAATAAAGAGGGAGTTAATGTGTGGAAAAAGGGGGACATCTATAGTACTTCCAACAATGTAAATTAGTGGAAACAAACCAAATGTCACCAACTGATGAATTAAGAAAATATTATACATCCCTCTATAAGAGAAGATTCTGGGATGGGAGTGCCAGGGAGAGGTCAATGGGGGAAAAAAGAGTCATATGGAATACTTTAACAATAAAAAATTAAAAAAAAAAAAGTCTAATCACTTCAAACAAAATTTTAAAGTTGCAGTTCTTTACCGTTTCACTATGACTTAATGTTATTTCCAACTTTTAGAAAGTATTATTCTGAGACACTAAAATTAAATGATTCAAGAGGATAACATGCCATAGAGTTGGAGAAAATATTTGCAGAATACACATCTGATAAAAATATTATCCAAAAATTAAAAAAAGGGCCAAAGACCTTGCCTGACAACTCACCAATACAGATGGTAAATAGGAATATGAAAAGATACTCCATATTATGTGTCAGAGAAACAAATTAAAATGATACCACTACACTTCACTTGGTGTTTACCCAAAGGATTTTAAAAACTTACACACCAAAGTTTACAGCAACTTTATTCATAATTGCCAAAATCTGGAAGCAACCAAGATGTCCTTCAGTAGGATAAACTATGGCATAACCAGACAATAGATTATTCAGCACTAAAGAGAAATAAGCTATGAAGACATGAAGGAAACCTGTGCATTTTACGAAAAAAAAAAAAAAAATCCAATCTGAAAAGGTTACATACCGATTCCAGCCATTTTGGAAAAAACAGAATATGGACAATAAAAATCAATAATTGCCAAGGATTGGGGTAGGTTGTAGGCAGAGGCAGTGTATTCTATGGGGAGTGAAAATAGTGATATCACAATAGGTACATATCACTCATTATACCCTGGTCCACAGAATGTGTACCAAGTGAACTTGTACACAATGGACTGAGTGATTGAGTCAATGTAGGTTCATCGGTTTTAGCAGATGTACCACTCCTGTGGGAGATGTTAAATAGGGGGGGCTATACATGTGTGAAGGGGAAAAGATATATGGTTAATCTCTTCACGTTCCTATTTTACTGTGAACCTAGAACTATTAAAAAAATTCGTCACACATTTAATAGGGAATACTTACTATATGCCAAATAGTTACCATCCTTATTTACAGATGAAGAAACCTGGTTCCAGGATCCATCACCCTCTTAACCAGTATGCCACACATTACTTGAATTCTATCCTTTTCAAATTGATCCGCTATGGGAAGCCCACCTCAAATCTGAAAACCAAGGGCTCCTTTTTACAGGTTGAAGCCCAATGCAGAATAGATTTGAGGAAAGGCATAGCCCAAGATCATACAGCTAATTCATGTCACCATGGTTTGTCCTAGCAAAACATTTTTGGAGGTTATGCAGGTATCTTTGAGAAATATGACACACTTAAAATGCTTAGTATCTCAGTGTACATACACCAAAGTTAAATCCCCTTTTTAGTCTTGCCTTAGAAACATTCATGTTTGAGCCGAAACCGGTTTGACTCAGTGGATAGAGAGTCGGCTTGCGGACTGGAAGGTCCAGGGTTCAATTCCGGTCAAGGGCATGTACCTTGGTTGAGGGCACATCCCCAGTGGGGAGTGTGCAGGAGGCAGCTGACCGATGATTCTCTCTCATCGATGTTTCTAACTCTCTATCCTTCTCCCTTCCTATCAATAAAAAATATATATATATTTAAAAAAGAAACATTTGAATACAAGTTTATATAGAATTAAATCTTCCTAGCTGCCTTACAAACTTAGGTTTCCTTTTCAATGCTTCTGACAAATTAAATCCTATAAGATCAAATTTGTCTTCAGTTTCTTATAAAAACTGATTTTGGAAACATTTATTCAGTGACCTTTATAGATGAAGTCCAAAGGTCGATCACCTTCCAAATTTTCTTTATCCCCCACATACCACATTGATATGAAAATCTTAAATGTTAACAAGAGGTAGCAGTGAGGAGGAAAATAGGTCATACTTTTAAATCTTTAATTGTACCAAACTGTGATTCTTCAGTATCCTTCATATTTCAGGAGATGCTATCCTTATCTTGTCATAATACTTTTGAAAATAGAAGTCTAACCCCCAAAGAACTATGACAAATAATAGTCAAACTCCAATACTGAAAAGCCATGGTTATCCTTGGCTTCAGTTAGCCCCTGGGCAAGGTCAGAATATGTCACTGTTATTTCTTATTATCTCTTATGACACCTTCAAGAGCAAACTCTTGGACCCATCCCTACATTAGAACCAAAACAAGTGAAATAAAACTATACCTATTTTTTTTTTGTACTAATTGTCATGCCTAAAGTGTTATCTATAAAATAAAAAAGGAAGGGGAGGGTAACACCATTGATTGTTCAAATATCATTCCTTCTTCTTAAGTGCTAAGACTCTTTAAGATCCTAAAATAGCCTATACATTTCTTCAGACAGTTGCCCATTATGTAACCATACTTTATTTTTTTACAAAACTCATCTCATGGTTCTCATTTTAACACATTGATAAGGCAATGAAAAAAAACAAAACCAAAACAACAGCCATGCAAAGTTTACATATGCAACTAAAAAGTTGAATTTGAAACCTTTTCTAATCATCCCCCTGTATAATTTCTAACTATGGCTTAAAAACCCAATGAACAAGTGGAAGTTTCCCTCTGTACATGGCTTTTATTATTTACATAATACAATATAGCATCGATGCTGAATAGCATGATTATGTGCAATACATAAATATGAACTATCTGTACACATCTGCAAATCTAACTCAGAACTAAGGTACAAAGATTTGAAAGCAAAATTGAGTGCTTTAAGAAGAAAAGTAAAACTAAGACTGAACACTGCAATAAATCAGAAGTAGTGCCTCGTGTACATACTTAACTATTTACAGATGAAAACAGGCATTACCACAACACTAATCTAACTATACTCATTTATACATAAAAAACACAAGTTTCATACACAGAAAACCTTCCATTATAACACAGAAGTGATATTACCAGACAAGCATCAATGAAGTATACTGCCTCTTCTAGTTGTTATTGTACAATGCTGTAAATAATGCAGCCCATGCAACACACCCAAGAACACTAGTCCTATACCCAAGTACAATTAATAATAAAGCAGCCCTCTGCAAGTGGTGCTGGATACCACTAGGTAAGAAGTCTACTGCAGCCATGTTGGTTATGATTCTCCATGCAGAAGGGTAGTTACAGTAAGAACTGAAGTCTTTTAAAAAAGCTCTAAACATTCATTCTTCAACCAAAACATTCAACAAAAGATGCACATGAAAAATTAACTGTTCAGATACCTTTGCAACTTAAAATTCAGATGCATGTTACTCAACAGAGCTGCTGTATGTGAAAACCAAATGCAGTTCTAATTTCTTCTTGTAAACAAATTAATCCTAGTGCAGTTCTGTGCTACACATTTTTTTTTAAGCAATAAGTAATGCAGAATCTTCTGGTGCAGGCCAATAAGCTTCAAAGACAGCTCCAGACAGTTGCTTGATGGTTTTATTCTTATAACCAGTTGCAATGTTTACCTTTCACAGAATGTCTTTATTTGACAGCTTTTAGACCAATTAGCCATGCTTGTATGTGGCATCAAATACTAGTTTTGTGGAAAGGTCTGATCCTCTTTATCACCTTCTTCCTGCTTCCAAAGAACATGTGGAAATTAACAGTGAAGTTTAACTATGGTAGAAGTAGACTGCCAGTCCTTTTCTGGTGTACCATTTTTTAGAAAAATACAGGCACATAACACTAGCCAAAGATTATACCTTGATACATTCCCAAGAGGCAGATATGCTGCAAACATGCAGATTTCATGTTTTGTTTGGCACGTGGGAGCTAAATTTTGTCCTTGTTATCTGTGAAATTCAATTTGATATGCAGATTTCATCCAATTTTATTCAAGGGAGGGCATATACATTTTGTAGGGCTGTATCTGTCCAATTCTGCCTGTAACAAACACCCAAACATCCTAAAATATCAATTATAAGACAGACAAGTAGTATAAAGTAAAACTCTGGAGAACATCAAAGAAAAATGGCCATGCATCTGCTCTTTAATGTTTTCCTACGATATATTAAAATAAAAACAAAGTTTCAGTCTCTTCACAAGAAGTAATTTATATTCTCTGGATTTTTTCAGCCACAACAACGGGATTCTCTTTTCTGATTTTTGCTGCAGCTTCTGCTTTGTAATCATATGGACAGTTGTGCTTGTCAGAGTAACGGTGAAGTCCACAAAACAAATTTCCACATCGGCAGTCAAACCCTGTACACACAAGAGGAAGCAGGGTCACTTGGGAACTTGTAGCAATTAAAAGGAAAAGAAAAAAGGAACCAGCTTTCATGGCTCTTTGCAACAAGACAAAGTCTGTCACTTTAAATTGTGAAACAGCTTTTAAGCCACCTTTGACATGGTGAGAAATTCAAATAACTATTCTTCCACAGACTCCCATAGATATCACACAGGGTAATTATTACACAGGCTCTGGAATCAGAATGACCTGGATTTAAATCCTCCTCCTACTGTATGTTAACTAGGTAATGTTTCACGTGAAAACAAAGGAAAGACAACCAATTAAACAAAACAACTAAAAAGTATCTAGAATATTTTATGCCTGGCTCAAAGTAGGCACTATTTAGTTCTACTTCCTTTTTCACAGGAGAACAAAGGGAAGAATCAAAAGGAATGTATTTTTATCAATCAAATGAAGTAATTCATAAGGCCTCAAGTTAAAAGGATTTCATGTGATTAGGGAGACAAATGGAAATCAAACTAGACTTCCTCCCACTATCCCTCTTTCTAGTCCATTCTAGAAACTTTCTATTACTGAAAGTTGGGATCCTGAAATTTCACAATGATTTATTTTGCCATTATAACAAGTGCTTGTCTTTAGAAGATCTGGAAGATTTTGTTTTATTTGTAAGATCAATCAGTCCCTTATGAAGAGACCAGGAGCTCCTTGGTGAACCCTACCGTAAAATATACAGTTTATTATGTTGTTTAATACCTGTAAGGCCAACTTTCTTTCTGCACATGAAACATCTATTCTTCTTTGGTTTGGGTAACTCAGGAGCTTTTTCTTCACTTTGAGAAGTACTAGGTTGAGAAACTGATGAACTGGGCTGAGTGACAACTGAAAAACAAGGGTACAAATTAGAAATTTGTCAAGCATTCAACTGACTGCTAATTAACCAATTAGCTATGCTAAAAAAAATAAAAACACCTAGGACTTTTTACTTTTATATAAGAACTTTCAAATATAAGAATTTCTTGCCAACCAACATACCACTTGTTCCACTAAATTTTATAAAATTATCACCCTACTCATAGTTCTTTTAAACTTCTCTTAGCAGCTAGCTAGTACTAAGAAACCCCAATTCTAGAAGTTTTTAAAGACCTAAGAAATGTTGGCCACATGCTATGTGTTTTTCCATGTTGCAGTTGCCTACATATAAACATCTTAATTAGGGCTGTTGAAATTCATTACTATTAAGTAAATAAAGTTAACTTCTAAGGTACTTGACTATAAAAATGTCCATTTGGTTTCAGACTTACAGGAAAAAGAAAGATTGTGTAGTAAAACCAGCAAATTTTGACAAGTGAAACCCAAATTATTAATCACCATCTTCAGATCCTAAAATGTCACAATAATTATTTTGCCATTATAACAAGTGTTTTAGTGTTATTCAGAAGATCTGGAAGATTTCTTTTTTTTTAAGTTTCCTTTGAAAGATTAGCAAACATTGTCTTTAGGACAAGTACTTGTGCAGTTTTGACTTTAGACTGTTAAGGATTTTATGGACAAAACTAAAAATATATATATATTTTTATTAAAAGTCCACTTGCCAACATGAAATCAACAGAATTTGTCAATATGAAGGTAAAACTGCAGATTACTCCAGTTAAGCCCATATTACCATTAGCCATTTACCAAATTTGACTATACTTTTATAAAATTCAACTACATATATAAACTGAGTTTTAATATTGATCCAAACGTCAACAATAGCAAATTAATGTATGCAATGCTAAAATTACTGCCTAAAATAGGCCAGCACCAATGCTAGAAGCCTTAAGTCCAAACTCTAGAGACAAGCCAATTGGTACAACTTATTCTAAAAATTCTTCCCAAATTCATAACTCATTTGCATTAGTAATTTATTCAGAGAGATTAATAGGTTAACAGAATATTCCATCTATTACTTATTCCTAACAATCTACTATGACAACCTTATTATAATTTTTCCTGGTGGAATGACAATAGTTTGGGGATAGGAAAGAGTGATAGCCATTTCCTGAGCCACACCTGAAAACTATACAGTGGTTCCATAAAGATAAGAAGGGTTTAAAAAAAAAAATGATATAGAAAAAGACAGAAAAATCATGAATTACAGAATTCCCACTAAGAGAATAAATAGATTAGCTACAGATCTAACCCAGAAGAATACTGTTAAGGCCAGACTAATTTATGTTTAAAACACATCCTGCCCCTGCCTTAAAAGCCACACACATACACACAAATTTGGTCCACTTTTTCAGAAGGATAGAACTCATTTCAAAATATCAAATATGGATTCACTTGCTCAACTTATAAATTTTCACTTTAATTTTATAAATTAAGATTAATGTAGTTCACATAAACTTGTGATGTTAGAAAAAGCTAGCCTACAAAAGAGATTATATATTCACTGACATTATTTCCATAAAGCTTTATATTATGTTCAATCAATACTACTAGGAAATAATAAATTGATAAAAAATATGTGAACTGTAATATACATAGATTCTTGTTCTAGGCCCAGCACAGATAATTCAAACAAGTCAGTTTTCTGGTTAATACATTTAGAGTATTTATTCATGGTTGCTATAGAAGTTAAGCAGTGACTCAAAATCACTAAAGAAAACAAAAAAATGCCTTTCCATACTGAGTTTTAAACTCTCACAAAATATGGGATCCTACACTTCAACTTGAAAGTTTTAGTGTTAAATATGTTCTACTGCTTGAATATTTTCTACAATGTTGACAATATTAAGTTACTGCTTTTGACCTAAAAATTTTCAATTTTGAAATTTAATCTACATAAAATTTTTCCAGGTTTACGAACAATACCTTCTCTAATGATTTACATACTTTTAAAATATGACAGTAATACATTATTTTAAGTTCACTAAATTCTTAATACTTCCAATCTCCAGATTATAGACTTTGCCAATTTATTGGTATAGGGGGTGGTGGGGATGGGCAGAGAAGAAAGAAGAGAATAGAACACATGTGTCAAACACAAGGCCCGCGGGCCAAATCCGTCCCGCCAGGCCTTGCAATGTGGCCCGCACCGCGCTGTCATCACTGCACTCCGCTGCGTTTCCATCACAATGACAGTTTATGACTGTTCAGTAAACCATTCAGCCCGCGATTTAGGCTGGATTTTAGATTTTGGCCCCTTCTCTGATTGAGTTCGACACCCCTAGAATAGAATGACTATTTTATTTATACTCTCTAAAGAGAGTGGTTCTTGCTTGGCCTGTATTTTCTAGCTCTCTCCTTTGATCCTTCAATGGGAAGGAACAAATCCCCCCACCAACCCTTTCTCATACTACAAGTCCAGAACTGAACTAATATTAAACAAAATGCATACCTGGCTCTGACACCTCTGTTTTCGGGGTAGTTATTTTGTCCTCTCTTGAAATGCTCATTTCTGTCATTTGCTGAGTTACAGGCAAGGCAGCCACAGGCACATTTCTATTTGAGTTCAAGCAAACATTTTTAAAGATGTTAAGGGTACTTCTTCGTGAGATAAGTTGTCAGTTCAACTTCAAATTATATATTATTTCCAACATATCAAATGGAGCTAAATAATCTAAAAATTTAAAAGAATACTGGATGCTCAGCAAAAATGGTTGAGAATAAAAGCAAGCAATTTGATAAATGGCTCAATTCAAGGCTGCATATCTGTATAAGTCACGATGTTTTATTAATAGCCAACTAAGAATTTTGAGCTGTGCCTGTAATGTTTAAGGGCAAAAGGGGGCAGTTTGCCAAAATGCCTTGTGTGGCATTACACTAAAGTCTGCAGAGCCTCACTCCCTACAACCTATAACCTCAATTACAAGGAAATAAAAGCACAGCATTCTCAACACAGCATCCTTGGTGATGGTATAGAGTGCTTTATAATGTACATTTTTACTCAATGACCTACAAGATCATACATTAAAAGATACTGAAATTCCTGACTGTGCAACAGATGCAAAGCCAAGGGCATTTGATATGTTAACATCCTTACTACTATATAGGAACACATAATTAAAATTGTATGGCTAGCACAGATATCTTAATTTCTTCCTATTACCATAAAAACTCTGAAATGCTCAATCTTACCTTGATTTTTCAGATGTGCTGCCAGCAGCACCTTCACAGTTGTTTAAACTAACATCTGCTCTTTGCACAGATGCAGAATCTGAGGTAGGACTGTTGGAACCACTAGCTGTCCCTATTTAAAAAAAAAAAAAAGGATTTGTAAGAAACAAAGCAATACTATAATCAGTATCAAAACTATTAATAAGTAACAAATACTTGCATTTAATTAAGTTAGTGGTTTAAGTATTTTCATTGTGCTGCAGATTCCTACACTTAAGTATCCAAAAAATAAATATATTAAAAAGTCATATCCAGAGAATAAAAGTATGAAACAAAAACTCAAATAGAAAAATGACAAAGCTAGTCAAGATGCTCGTTGATAGTCATTTATTCCTGATGTAGTTATACCAAGTACTTTGGCTGTTGCTTTAATTTCAAACTTTTCTTAGGTCTTCTCTCTTTGGGCTTTCAGCATTCATTCTTGGTCTTAAGCCCCAATTCTTGACTCTATGTTTTCTGTTCACCAATTCTTCAAATGGGTTTTTCCTTGGAAACAACTTACCCATTGGGCTCATTCTGCCACTATTCTGCTGCCTCTGAAGATGCTCTTTGTAGCAAACAGAACACATTCCATTTGTCCTAGGATTCCCATAAAAGCCACATCCTGTACTACACAGCATGGGCCCTGGGGTCTGGTTAGTCTCCTGAGCCATATTTTTCTGCTATAAAGAAAACAAAAACAAAATTTTAGAAACTAGCATGTAACTAAAGTAAAATCACTAAATTAGTATATGATGGCCACTAGTTTTTCTAAACATCAAGTTTATTTCTAACGAAGGCCAAAATTAAAAAAGTAGGGGAAGAAAAACATGCATATTTTGCTGCCTTTATAAAACAAAGGGCATGAAAGGAATTGTTTTATAGCTTGATAAATAATGACCTATAATGACTTCACATAGGTTGATTATTAGGCAAAAAGATTCTACCATTAAACATTAAAATGTATTTATCTCAATTTCTGAAAAGGTCGCTCTGTCTGATATCACAATTACATTTATATCAATTCGGGCAACTGATATCTAAGTTCCTTTCTGTTCTCTTGCACAACAGTTACAAATATTTTACATTGGTTAAAAATATTTAAATGAAACTTGCAAATGGGTAAAACCTACAATCTTAATTACTGACACTTGAGAACTACTAGTGTAGTGATTCTTTAAATTAGCTGTATAGATATAGCTCTAAAGTTTTCTTAAAACATCTGAACATGCTTGGGCCCAACTAGTAATTCAACAATTCTGCAAACTGAAATGAGAGCTGGTAGATGACCTGGCCTTTCCTGTTACCTTGGAATCAACAAGTGAAGCTCTAAGAATTCAGGGGGTCAGATGCTTATGCTTTTATGTTCTACATTTGAGGTGTGAAATCTGCATCTGGATACTTTTAAAGTCAGTGCCTAAGAAACCTACAATGCACACATTATCAGCCATAGCTTTCTCAGCTAAAGACTATCTCTTGAAACTTAACAAGTGTCTGCCTTCTTCATACCAAAAATGAAATCTTTTCAAGCTAAATTCAATAAAGCAAAGAAAGTAAAGCAATATAAACACACAACCTTGAGTAATAGTTAATATTTAATGCTAGGTTACCAGAAAAATCTTTATATAGAAAGCATACTCTTGCTTTTTTGCACGAGTCTTATTAAAATTAGCACAAATATATATATAAAAAAACAAAATTAGCACAAATATTTTGCTAAGTTTAGTGAATTTTCCCGAGTTAAGATAAAACACACACTATTAATTTGTATGAATGTACAAAGCATACTTAACATTTTATAAAAAAAACAAAACAAAAGCACAGATCATTTGCTCTAACTTGTCACTCATTTAAATGTACCTTACTATTGATAATAAGATCACTTATAATTTATTAAGTTACAAACATTTCAAATAAGTGCAGGAAAGTACTTCAAGTTACAGCTTGCCATCTTCTGGAATTTCATAAGGCTTTTTCCAACTACCACTTCTAAAATACACTCTTTTAAGGAAATATTACAAATAATGTCTTCATTATTAGCAATTTTTATTAACAAAATTATTTTTTAAAAGGGTGGAAGAGGACTAAAATTCTGGCCTGGCCAAATCCTGACAATTACTCTCCCCAATTAAATAGTAAACTTTACTTTTGTTCGCAAAAAGACACCATTTTCAAGTTTTAAAATATTTCAAGCCAATCAAGCTTGTATGGAGAGTGACCAAGATCCACAATTTACTTCAGACAATAGTATTAATTTAGTTGACACTGTCTCTTTAAATAGTAAGTGGAATTTAGCTGACTCATTTTGGAGCAAAGTAAACATTTCAAAATCCTTTATGAAGTTTAATAAACACTTTCAGCTGATTATTTGTGCATATGTGCAAAATATGCTTCAAATAATAAATTATGTATTTATTTGCATGCCCTCTACCCTAAGTATGTGAAGCTTTATCCTAAAAAAAAAAAGTTGGGCCATTCCTTGAGCCCAGTTTAAAAATTATGCTAGCTCACTTTCTATACAAACTTGCAGTGTCATCTGATAGTGGCTTTACAAGCAAATTGGCTTAAATTTGAGACAACAAACATTAACATTCGTCAATATGATTCTTAAAATCTTTTATGTAAATAAAATGGGGGGGGGGGATCTCATCCAATGATTTCATCCACTTGGACATGCGAAGTATTCCACCTTTCCTTCTTCAGGAAACAATAAACACATCTACCTTCAATTCACTATAGTCTTCAACTCTGAGATAACAGGGTATGTCTTCTAGATGGCTTCTCATCTTGTAGTCTATTCCCCCCTAGAAAGCCAGCTTTTAAATGCCATCACATGTGCACAGCTTGCCTTAATATTTCTCAGGAGCTTAGATCACATGGGCGGCGCTTCAGCCTGTCACAAGGCTGCAATGTGACAGGCCGAGCTGGATGGAGGATCTCACATAAAGCCTAGTCAACAGGGGCCTCTGAAATCAGCTTCTATTTATATCCCAGAGCCTGCCAACTCCTACACAACCTCAAAACCTAAGGATGCAGCCTTCATACATCTAATATAAGAAAACAAATAAAAAAGATCATGTAGGCTGCTACAGTTTTTCTCTAATGTAGGGAGGGAGGGTTAGAGAACAATCTCAAATTCAATCTAAAAGATGCAAGCAGGCATCATTAATCACGCACGAAGCCAAAATGGCCAGGGTTGTTTATAAAAACCAAGCACAGTGGAGAGAGCATCAAGGCAGAAAAAATACTAATGTTTAGTGGTAATTTTTTTTTCTTGCGGGGGGAGGGGAAGCTTGCTATAAGGTACTGTGGTTTCCTCCTGCTTGGCAATGTTTTAGAAAAGTACAGTACCACTATTTTAGCACCTTTAAAGTTGATAGAAACTTGAGCATTATGTGTCAGCTCTATCACGTATAAGTGAAACATTTCTTTTTCTAGTTTTGGCTTTTAACTCATAGCTTCAAAAAACAAACCATCAACAAAACTCCAAAACCTGGGCATGCAACTGAAAACTCTTCAGCCTCAAATGTAATAAAAAACAAACAAACAAAAAACACAAAATACAAAAAAAACCACAAAAAACTTTTAAGAAATCTATGGCATTTAGACATGCTAAAAGATGTTAAGAATGCCCACTCACCTGAAGTTGATGCCTGAGTTCTAGCCTCTAATCTATTTCTAGCCAAGCCAGTGACCTTGGGCAAGTCCTCACTCCCTATCTCAGTTTCCTCCTTACCAAATAAGAGTGCATTAAGTTGGTCCGAAGGTTGTGGGTTATTGTTAAGCTGATTAACAAATAAGAGTGCATTAGTGTGATTTTAAAAGGCTCCTTGCCAAACTTAATACCGGGCCTCTGAGACAGAAAATAGGGAAAAACTACAAACAAATCCCTTTTCGGGCCCATTTAAAGAAAAAAAAATATCAAGATTAAATTGCAGTGCTTTCCCCAAAGTTCTGAAATCCTACTTTTTCAGATTTTTTTTTTTTTTTTGTAGATTACCTGAATGCCTGGTTTAAGAACAGGGGGCTCCGTGACCTATATTACTTTACATTTCTAGGTCCTTAGACCAGATTCTTGGGAGGCATTCGTTCCATAAAGATAACCCGGGGCCTTCCCCAAAACACAGCAGAGGACTTCACGTTCACCAGCCTAAATGCACGAAACAAAGGGGAAGGCGCTCCATTTCCTTCGTGAAAAGGGATCTTGGGCGAGGAAGGCCAGCGACGTTGGGGGAAAAAAAAACTGAAGCACCAGGAGAGAGAGGGCTCCCCTCATCCACGTTCCCGCGGGTTTTGTAACGAGTTCGGGTCCCCACTGGCCTCGCACCCTTGGCCAAAAAAAGCTCAGGCCTCGCTCGGGAACAGCAGCCCGACGGTCGGGGCCTTCTCCAAAAACTCCTGAGTCATGCACAACAGCGGCCCCGCCGGGCAGGCAGGCAGGCCGGCCGGCCCCTCACCCCGCGGGCCCGCACCGACCCCGGCCCCAACGGCTCCCCGAGGCGGCGGCGGCAGAGTTGCGGGGGGAGGGCGGGCGGCGAGCGGGGGGGCGAGGCCGCCGCGGCCGCCTTTGTCTCTCCGGGCCCAGGTCTGCCCACGTCGGGCGCCGCGGGGGGAGGCGGGGAGGCCCGGAGGCCGGAGCCCCGAGCCCCGGAGGCCGCGCGCCAGCCGGGTTGTCCCCTACTGTGCGCGTGCGAGCGGGCCGGGGGCGCCCGGGGAGCCCGGCCTCCGGCCACGACGACAGGATGACGCCTCCGTCTTTGTGTTTCCTGAGGCGGCCGGTCGGCAGGCTCCCCTCCGCCGGGGGCCGCCATGCGCGACCCCCACGCACAGGCCGCGCCGGGGTTCCAGGGCCCCCGAGGCCGACCCCGGCCGGCACGCGCCCTCCCGCTGCGCCCGCACTCACCCGCGTGAGCAGGAGGCCGGGGCCGGGCCTGCGTGCGACGCCGGCGCAGTGGGGCCGGGCCGAAGCCTGAGGACGGGCGAGCCGGACGCCCGGGAGCCGCGGCCACGGGCCGGGAGCAGGTAAGGAGCCGCGGGCGGAGGTGGCGCTGCTGCTGCTGCCGCCGCCGCGGGGGCCCTTCTTTTGTTCCGCGGGCGCTCCGAGCGTGGCCGGGGGCCCGGCGGAGCTCGGGAAGCCGGGGAGGAGGCGGAGGGAGGACCGGAGGCTGCGGCGGCGGCGGCGGCTAACGCTGCTCGCGGAGCTCGCCCGTCGTCTCTCCTCACGCCTCCGCCGGCGGCGGCGGGTAGGGCCGATTCCGAGGGCGAGAGGGGCGGGCGCCGCGAGGACTGGGCACCGCGAGGGCCCGCCGATGGCGCTCTCCTCCGTCGCTGGGTGCTACCGCCGATGAGGCCGTGGCTCCCGGGAGGGGGGGCGAGCGAGCCCGACTACATGCAGACAGGTCCGCGGTCCGGCCGACTGACGCTTCCTCTCCGCCCCGCGCCCGGGCCGTGAGGAAAGAGGGAGGGAGGGGCGGGGCCTGTGCGTCAGCGAAAACCCCGACGGCGGCGACGGCGGCGCAGGGCAGCGCGGTGACGTAGGCGCCCGACGCACCGCCCCCGCCTCCGTCAGTCACCGGCTCCTTGGGGCGGGGCGGGGCCTGGCCGCGCGGCTGTCGCGCGGAGCCGAGTCACCGGCGGGACCGGCCCCGGGGTGGAGCTGGACGGAGCGAGTCCGACTGAGTCTGTGGTTCTATTTTTAACCCGATTGTTCGCCCTCAGCCTCCCTCTCTCCTTCCCTCCCTTCCTTCGGGTTTTCTCACTCGCGCCCACTTTTCGGCATTTGAGTTTCTCACGCTTTTTTCGTGAGCCCTTTCCTCCTTCACCCCAGCCGCTCCCCCACCCCCTCACCTTCCCAAGAATTACAAGGATTCACTTTGCCGAGAGGAGGAGGAACTGCTTCACAGACGGATTTGGCGTCTTTTCGCCTGTGTGTGAAGTCTCCGCCCCGATCCCTTCCCCGGTCCCTCTCTGGGTTCCAGAGTCCGGCTGGAGCTCGGCCCGGCCGCCTCGGGGAAGGAGCTGGGCCGGCGGCGGCCGCTCAAGGTCAAGGTGGTTGTGCAGAGTCCCGAGCGAGCGCTCCGCCCATCCCGCCGCCAGCCCAGGCCCCCTCGCCTCCGTTCGCCTCTTGTTCCGAACACGCTGTCTCGGCCAGCCCGTAAAATCCCTGGAAATGGACTGTTCCAGCAAAGCGCCGCGAAAGCACGGGGAAGCACCCAATGTTCCACTCCAGAAATGATGGTGTTAGGGGACAAACAAGCTAGACCTGGGGCAGAGATCAGACAGGAGGAGACGCTGCAGGAGGAAGTTCAAAAGGGGAGAGAGAAGGGCAGGGCAGTTGGCATAAATGGAAAGGGCGAATTGGAAAGGGCGAGTTAACCCGGAATACTAGACCCTTTGCAAAGCACCAACAAGTTAAACTGGCCCCTCCAAGCGACTTTAGTTCAACTCAAGAGGACATTACCGAGACGGATAGGTCTTGTTTCCTGGTAACTTATAGCGTAATGAAAACTGAAATGAGGTTGAGGGCTTCTATTAGCCACCATTGAGAATGGAGGGCCGAAACCGGTTTGGCTCAGTGGATAGAGCGTTGGCCTGAGGACTCAAGGGTCCCAGGTTCGATTCTGGTCAAGGGCATGTACCTTGATTGCAGGCACATTCCCAGTAGGGATGTGCAGGAGGCAGCTGATCGATGTTTCTAACTCTATCCCTCTCCCTTCCTTTCTGTAAAAAGCAATAAAATATATTTGAGAGAGAGAGAGACAGAGAGGAGAGGCAGCTTGGCTCTGCGGATAGAGCAAGGGCCTGGCGGGTTGGATTCCGGTCAAGGGCACTTACCGGTTGCATCACGGTGCACACGAAATACCGGTGTGAGATGGTTCTAGGTTTCCCTGTGTCTCTCCTCCTCTCTCTCTTTCTCTCAGACTCTTCTCCTTTCCACCCTCTCTAAAAAAGTCAATGGAATATCCTCGGGCGAGAATTACACAGCAACAACAAAAAGATTGGAGTGGCAAGTCCCACAGGGTTTCCTAAACTCAAGGATCAGAAAAATACCCTGTGAGGCTGATTTAGAAGATTACTTAGGTCTCTTCCCTGGAGATTGTTTTGGTTGGTCTGGGGCGGAGCTCAAGAACCTGTATTTTAATGCTCCAAGAGATAATTTTATAATTTTGGGAGACCCTCTTTTGGTGCTCTGTGCCAAAAGTTCCATAATCAGTTTCCTGCCGCAGCAAGCAGAATACTTAGGATATAAGTGACCATTTAGGCTAATTTCTGTGGTTAGTTAATGTGCTAGAAATGTTAAGTAGTTTCAGTCACTGGTCTCAGGACTGAAACTTATTTCCTTGAATGAGTTGAAACTTATTTCCTGGAATGAGCTGATAAGTTAGTAAAAACATAGCAATAACCATTTACAGATCATTTTTGGTGCTAAGTATTTTTTCCATTTAGGGTTTCATTTAATCCTAACGGTAATTCACTGAGGTAGATATTATTATAATTATTAAGAAGAGTGATTTGCTTGAAGCTCTGAAGGGCAAGAAAGCTCTGGAACTAATTCTTACTGAGGAAAATAATAACAGACTCCTCCCACCCCCAGAATTTTAGATATTAAAAAGTGAAACAAGCCCTAGCTGGTATGGCTCAGTGCATAGAGTAGGGGTGTCGAACTCAATCAGAGAAGGGGCCAAAATCTAAAATCCAGCCTAAATCTCGGGCCGAATGGTTTACTGAACAGTCATAAACTGTCATTGTGATGGAAACGCACAGGAGTGCAGTGATGACAGCGCGGTGTGGGCCACATTGCAAGGCCTGGCGGGACGGATTTGGCCCGCGGGCCTTGTTTTTGAAACACGTGGCATAGAGTGTCGGCCTGCAGATCAAAGGGTCCAGTGTTCAGTTATGGTCAAGGTATCATACCTTGGTTGCAGGCTCCTCCCCTGCTGGGGCCTGCTGTTGGTGGGGGTATGTGCAGGAGCCAACCAATCAATGTGTTTCTCTCACATCAGTGTTTGTCTTTCCCTCTCTCGTCCACTCTCCCTAAAAATCAGTGGAAAAATATCCTGGAGTGAGGATTAAAAAAAAAAAAAAAGGAAATACAAATTCTCAGGATCCCACACCAGACCTATGGAATCACAAACTCTGGGGTTTGGTCCAGCAGTAGTGTTTTAGCAAGTTTTTTTGTGTGATTCTGATGTATGCTCAAGTTTGAGAATTGTTTATTTACCCCCTACCAAGCCATTGG